GGGAGCAGTTAGGAGGGAGACAGCTGGGGTGGAGTTTTCATGGCTGCCATTCCTCATGTGCAGCAGCAGATGTTTGATCTTTAGGAAAGGATAGAGGCAAAAAGAGTATATTTTGCCAAAGTCACTTAAAAAATTGCCTTTGAAAACTTAAATTATATTGTCTTAAATTATCTTCCAAATTAAAAGAAAATAAGTTCTTGTCATGTTTCCTGGCATTTTTTAAGTCCCATGGGAATGTGTTCCTTGTATTGTGGTCACCAGATACTTGGAACCATCTTCCAGTGCCATCAGAAGTGACATCACAGAAGATCCACTGCACAAGAAGATGTGGGTCTCGTGTGACTTGCGAAGAGTGGCATTCTAAGTGACCTCACAGTTTTTGGTTTTTGAACCACTCTCTAATTTGTGCTTTGTTGAGTTTATAGCTACTCATGTGCCGAATTCATAGGTGGGGTATGTTGTGTGACTTGCTGCAGGTTTGAGGGAAATTGATGATGGTACAGCAGAGATTAGATCACAGAAGGAAAGGGGCAACTCTAGACATTCACTAATGGGTCAGTTATTCAGTGTTCGTAGAATGAGTCTTCCTCTCCCTTTCCCCTCACCCTCTACTCCCTTTTCCTTCCCTTCTTCCTGTTCCCCTCCTCCCTCCCTCTTTCCATGTTTTCAGTTCTGTGCTTTCTTTCTCTCTGTTTCTTTCTTTTACAGAGGATTGAGCGATACTTTGAATAAGGGACACATTTTTGGTAATTGAAGCCATTTTAAGCCAGTGATATGTATCAGAATTTGCAAGGTTTTGAAACCTCACAAAGATTTTTTAAAATATGGACTTACTGCATCAGAATGTCTTTGGATAGGAGCTGGGCATGAATATTTTTATTTGAAAAGCTCTGGCTAATTATTTTGTATACTCTGATTTGTGCAAAGCACAAAATGGTTTCAACATTTTTTAATGTAAATATCTAAGCACTGTGTATATCTCTGAGGCTTCAATAAGCTGAAAGTACTTCACAAAAATTTAATTTTTTTCTTGACATACAAAGGCCATTTTTTACATTATTTTACTCTTCTGAATTATTTTTCTTCTAGCTTTTGGAATTTGAAATGGACGAATTTGCTCCATCTAGTGGTCATTTTTAAGCGTAGCAAGTTCTCTTTTCCCCAGAGTTCCTGAAGGCCCTGCCTGGCTCTGAGAGTGCTGGGTTGGACAGGCAGAGGGCGCCTGCTCTCTGTACCTCAGGAGCGGCTTAGGTAGAAGAAAGGAGGGAAGTCAGCTCTGAGTTGGGTTACTGCAGCAGGGAAGGGAACACAGGCTCAGGTAAGATAAAGGGCTTTCAGGGAAATCGCAACCTTTCCCACAACAGCAGCAGATCTTGGGTTATTTGCATCTCGGTATCTTTCTGATGCATGGTCCTTTCTCTGTCAGTGCTTTATGTTTCTCCAGAGATAAATTTTGTAGTCAGTTGTTTAAATACAGGAAGTTTGACTTGAGTCATCTGGTCTGGTAATTTCTTTTCTGGTACCAGGGATTGAACTCAGGACCTTTCACTTGCAAGGCAAGTGCGCTGAACTAATCCCCTGGCTCTGGTAAATTTTTTTTTCATTAAAATTTCCAATTTATTTTTTTATGTGCCTGGCACATGGTGTGTAAGGAATATTTTTTGGATGAGCAAGTGGATCCAAGTCCTACCTTTTGAGGCCATGGGGACCTGCAGTCTCTCTTGTGATGTAGTACTGTTCGTGTAGTTGAAGGTAGCTGGGCTTCTGGAGGGAGGTGTGAGTACTTGATTCCCGGTATTTTCTGGCCATGTAACTTTAGAAAAACGTCTTACTACTTTGGGCCTTCAGTTCCTTATCTATGAAATAAAGGTAATTGCCAGCCTCGTAGGGTTATGAAGATGAAATGACATGGGCCTAGTGTTTCGAGTAATGCTGGGCCTTCGGCAGTAGAAGAGCACGCTGCTTTGTTTCTTCATCTCATTTGCAGACGGGGCAGACATGCATAGAGTTTCAAAATACAGTAAGAGTTCAAAAAGATGTCGACAATCTAGAAAACAGTTTTAGACTGAAGCTAGTTTAAAATATCCAGAGAACAAGTCCTGCATCAGGAGACTTGGCTTAATAGTGATTCATTTGAGAAGCTTCAGGGTTTCACTGCCCTGTGATGTGGTTGCCAAAACCCTCACGTGCTCTGAGGCGGCTTTAATGCATGTGCAGTGTTCAAAGCAAATGAAGCAGTCATCCTGCTGTAATGATCCGAGCTGTTATTTACTCAGGCCTTGCTACTGGGTAGGTATGTAAGTACTTTATATAAATTATCCCATTTAATACAAGTCCCAGGTGGTGGATAGAGTATCTTGGTTTTTTTGTTTGTTTGTTTGTTTGTTTAGTTTTGTTTTAAACAGGTCTTGTTATGTTGCCCAGGCTGGCTTTGAACTCATAGGCTCAAATAGTCCTCCTGCCTCAGCCTCCCAAGTAGCTGGAACTACAGGAATATGCCATCATGCACAGTTTATTCCTTTTTTTTTTTCTTTATATAGATGAGGAAAGTGAGGCATTGAGGTCTTTAGTCAGGAGTTTGATTGCAAACCACAGATACCACCTTGGATTCGCTAAAGTAGTAAGACAGTTAATTGGAAAGTTCCTAAATAGCTCAGTGGTTCCACAGAGTCTGGTGGCAGGGCTGGGACCCTGGCAGGAATCGGGAGGGCGATCAGCCTAAACAGTAGCCCCGGCCAGGCTGTCGGGGAGCCCAGGGGGGATGCCACGCACAGCGGGCCTGGCTGTCCCTGGGTGTTGCTACCACTGTCCCGGGTTCTTTGTGTCAGTCACCCCGGAGTCAGAGGACCTCGCTCAGCCAGGCTCAGCGCTTGCTCCCACCGTGCCCTGGCTGCCAAGGGGCAGAGGCAGCCGTCTGGGCCACATGTCTATAGTGGGAGGTGGGCGCTGCCGCTCACCAGCACCCCTGCCTGGCATGAAGGGGACAGGGTGGGCAGCCCAGCCACTGCGTGCCCCCCCCCGCACACTTCCGCCACCGTGAAAAGCGAGCCCTTCCCACCTTGTTCACAGTGCCGTCCCCTGTCGCCTAGGGTTGGAGCCACCTCTGAGGAGATAGGGACTTCTGACCCTGCGTGCACGGCCTGCGGTGCCTGAGCTGGGATCCCTTGAGGGCCGTGGATCTGGTGTGCGGCCTGCTTTGTTGCTGTTTTCCTTTCCCTCGGGTCCTGGCAGCTGACCTGCCCGAGACTTGACTTCCGAGCTCGTTTCTAGGTCCGCGTCTGGGGCAGGGCTGACGTCTGACCTCAGCACCTGCATGGCCACATTGATTAAAACACTCACACAGTTGGATAAGCAGCCAGTTGGCGAAGATAACATTTGAGACCCATTGCGACCTGGGCACCGTGCTCACACAGCCTCGGATTCCCATCGCCTCACCGCTGACGTGCAGCGATGCCGCGCCGGATCAAGGAGATTAGCAGTAATGCAGTTCAGGTGCCTGGCACCTAGCAATGGCTCAGTAAATAACCTGTTCTCCTTTGTGTCAGCTTTTTTTCCCTTTGTCTTCGTTACTTTGTCAGCTCTTTCCTTGGAAATTGGTCTTTACCAGGTGGAGAATGTTTAACATTTCAGCAACCAAATTTCAAAGCTTGGCTGCACCGCCTGGCAGGTGAAGTGATCCGTCATAGGCCACTTGACCTCTGCACCTCACTTTGTCCATCTCTGCAGTGTGAGGAGTCGCAGTGTGACGGTTAATGGAGAAATGCCCTTGACCAGCTCGGTTCCTGGCACGCGTTCAGGTTGGCGTTACCGTTCCGTCCCCCCTCACACCCCAGGATGAAGCCGGACGAGCTCGGTGTGGGCCGTGTGGGCCACCTAGCAGCTTTCAAGTAGAGCGTCGGTGGCTCCCACTTCCCTCCGTGTGAAAGGAGGCATTCGGGGACCTCACATGCTCCTCTCTGAAAGGCGTCCCTGGTCCGCCCGGGCAGCTGGGACCCTGACTCTCTCCACACTGCAGGTTGCTGGAGGAAGAGTCTTCCAAGAGGGCGGAGCTGGAAAAGTGGCACCTGGAGCAGCAGCAGGCCATCGCCACCACGGAGTAGGGACTTCTGACCCTGCGTGCACGGCCTGCGGTGCCTGAGCTGGGATCCCTTGAGGGCCGTGGATCTGGTGTGCGGCCTGCTTTGTTGCTGTTTTCCTTTCCCTCGGGTCCTGGCAGCTGACCTGCCCGAGACTTGACTTCCGAGCTCGTTTCTAGGTCCGCGTCTGGGGCAGGGCTGACGTCTGACCTCAGCACCTGCATGGCCACATTGATTAAAACACTCACACAGTTGGATAAGCAGCCAGTTGGCGAAGATAACATTTGAGACCCATTGCGACCTGGGCACCGTGCTCACACAGCCTCGGATTCCCATCGCCTCACCGCTGACGTGCAGCGATGCCGCGCCGGATCAAGGAGATTAGCAGTAATGCAGTTCAGGTGCCTGGCACCTAGCAATGGCTTAGTAAATAACCTGTTCTCCTTTGTGTCAGCTTTTTTTCCCTTTGTCTTCGTTACTTTGTCAGCTCTTTCCTTGGAAATTGGTCTTTACCAGGTGGAGAATGTTTAACATTTCAGCAACCAAATTTCAAAGCTTGGCTGCACCGCCTGGCAGGTGAAGTGATCCGTCATAGGCCACTTGACCTCTGCACCTCACTTTGTCCATCTCTGCAGTGTGAGGAGTCGCAGTGTGACGGTTAATGGAGAAATGCCCTTGACCAGCTCGGTTCCTGGCACGCGTTCAGGTTGGCGTTACCGTTCCGTCCCCCCTCACACCCCAGGATGAAGCCGGACGAGCTCGGTGTGGGCCGTGTGGGCCACCTAGCAGCTTTCAAGTAGAGCGTCGGTGGCTCCCACTTCCCTCCGTGTGAAAGGAGGCATTCGGGGACCTCACATGCTCCTCTCTGAAAGGCGTCCCTGGTCCGCCCGGGCAGCTGGGACCCTGACTTTCTCCACACTGCAGGTTGCTGGAGGAAGAGTCTTCCAAGAGGGCGGAGCTGGAGAAGTGGCACCTGGAGCAGCAGCAGGCCATCGCCACCACGGAGGCCGAGAAGCAGGAGCTGGAGCACCAGCGCACCGAGAAGGAGCAGGCGCTGCAGGAGGCCATGGCGCAGCTGGTGCAGCTGGAGCTCGAGCGCAAGCAGGCGCTGGAGCAGTACGAGGTGAGTGGGCTGCCGGCCGGAAGGGTGGGGAAGGGTGTGTGGAGCCTGCACCCAGCCCTGGCAGGCGGCCCTCTGCCTGCTGGCGGAAGCTGTCCCTGAGGAGGTGCTCCGAAGCCTCTGCGGAGATCACTGAGTACCCCGAGTGGCAGCCGGAGAAGCCCTGCTGCTCGCACTTCTCAGCACCGCCCGTGACAAAGCTTGCCTGGCGCAGCCAGTGGGGGGCATTGTCCTAGACGCAGGCTGGTCAGTGGGTGGTGGGTTTGGGTTTGAGGCAGGAAAATATAACGGGCACGGGCTTTTCTCCAGCCGCGAATGTGCTGGAACGACAGGTTTCAGTCCTGGCTCCACTGCTTCCTCCCGTGTGTGGCCTAGGCAGCTCGTAACTTCTCTAAACCCTGTTTCTGCTGCTGTGCAACGGAGCAACAATAGCTCCTGCTTAGGGTGAGAATTTAGGGATGCAGTAAAGAAGCACATATGAAGTGACCGTCTTGTTTGCTTCTTAAAGTACCTGTGGACCTGCAAAGTCCAAAATCCGTTTTTGTTCCAGGGTGTGAAGAAGAAGCTGGAGATGGCAGCTAACATGACAAAGAGCTGGAAGGACAAAGTGGCCCACCATGAAGGGTTAATTCGATTGATAGAACCAGGTAATAGGTTCTTTGAGCAATGTTTATTTTTTCAATTTATTTTTGTTTTGTTTACTTGAATTGTACTTAAAAACAACCTTTTTAAGCCCAAATGCATACGACCCAACCTGTCGAGGGAAACGTGCTCTTGACCAGCTTGTCTCCAGTCGCCAAGTGCATATCTTCTAGGTTTTGCCTGATGCTCCTTGGGAAGGATGTGAGGTGGGGGGGTTGGTGTCCCGTCTCTGGGATGGGGTGGTGCCCGGTGAGGGATGGCCACTTCCTGAACCGGGGCCCCTCTGTCTCCTAGGCTCAAAGAACCCTCACCTCATCACTAACTGGGGACCTGCAGCCTTCACCCAGGCGGAGCTGGAGGAGAGAGAGAAGAACTGGAAAGGGAAAAAGACCACGGAGTGACCGAGCGAGGCCACAGTCCCTCCGCCGTGTAGATACGAGTGTGGCCCCAGACTTTCTGCTGAAGACAACCGAAACCGGCTTTGCTGCTGTAACCTGCTTCCCTCCTCCTCCCCTCCGGGCCCGTCCCAGGGTCCAGCTCCTGAGGAGGCTTTCTCTACCTGCCCACAAGCAGGTTTCCCTAAAAAGAAAAGAATGTCAGTATTGTCAGGCTCTCCTTTCCTTTTTCTTTGACACCTTGGGCTTCTGAAAATCCCATGGATGGAGCTCAGATTCGCTCTAAATGAGGCCAAGAACAGACCCATGGTCTGCTCCGTCGCTGGGTCCCCCGATGGTTAGAGCCTCTGTGGGCTCCGAGAATGGCCAGTCTGCCTGCAGTTCCATGCTGGTGACACAGAAGGCCACGCTGGGTGCTCTTCTGGGGAAGTTGTGGAGTCGCTGCCTTTTCCTGGTTGCCCTTGTTCAGTGTGGTCTGATTAGGCGAGCTTTGCTGGCTTCTGCTGACACGTTTCTTCCCAGCCGTCGTGCACTTGGCACGGATGGCTCCTGTTTCCCTCACCTCAAAGAAAGCGTCCCGGTGGCCCACACTTAGCCCGATTCTCTGAGTCTTCTCTCTGTCCAGTGAGCAACAGGCTACCAGACCTATGCCGTGCAGCAGGAGGGTCACGTTTAGTAGTAGAAAGAAGCCAGTTTGAAATAAAAGTTATTTGGATAATTTCTAAAGCAGATTATGTGCTCCCGGGCAGTGGGAAGTTGACCTCGTGTGTGCAGTTAGGTGTAAACGTCATAAAGATGAGGCTGTCACTGTGTTCCCGGGCTGTGGAGCTAGTTCTCATCGGCTGGGCAGCTTTTCTGCTTTTCCTTGAGTACCGGGGAGGAAATACCCAGTGAAAATAAGTGTAACAAGAAAATTGGGATCAGAGGTTTAATGCATCTGATTTGAAAGAAATATTGGGAATGTTCTCATATTATCTTTGGATTGAGTAGTATTTATGAAATCAAGCCATCTAATACTGGTTATTTATGAACAGCAATAACTTCATAGACAGCAGTGATGCTTGTGGTTGTACAGAAATACGGGTAATTCCATGGTTACACAAAAGGCAGAATTCAGCAGAAAGGTGCTGTTCCTGCCTGGGCAGACCGAGCAATGGCAGGGAACCTCATGCCTACTTACTCTGGCTTTGGGAAAGCAGCAAGGAGGTTCTTCCCTAAAGATCTACGCATCTAGACCGTATGGTTGTAGAGATTTCAGGGTAGGTATTTATTTACATGGGAGGAAACTGGAATATAATTCCATAAATCTTCACCTTTTATGACTGGAAAATATTTGCCACTGAAGTAGTCTTTAGAAATTTGTCTTAAGGTCTTTACTTGTTTAATAAAAAGTGTAATTTAATGATCTCTTATAGTTGACGTTATAGTTTAGATTTCTGAAATATCTTTACCACATGGCTTCCAAATTTAACAGTTAACTTGGGTGTTGGTTTGTGACCAGCCACTTACCAGTGTTACCATTTTATTCAGTGGCTGGCAGGTTTATTAGCCCAACTGAGAATGGAACTCTGCTGAGGTTTGATTACACCAGGGGACTCCGTGGTCCCTTGCAGGAAGGAGGAAGACACAAAAGCCAGTGACCTGTTGTGGAAGAAAGTGTGTTCAGGGCTCCATGGCCCACGTGTGGAGAGAGGGTGAGGGCGTGAAACGAGCCTGTTTCTGCACTGGGCAGGTGTGACTTGGCCGTGCACCTTTGCAGAATGTCACCCGGGTCACCCGAGGCTGACAGCCTGGCCTCACTGTGGGGCCGAGGCTGCTGCTTTCTTGACCAGACCGAGCAGCTCTGCCGTGGGTGTCAGAGGTGTGTGTTTTGTGCTCAGTGGGACTGGTTTTACACCCTGGCTTCAGCGGCATCATCTCCATGGGGCAAAACCTTTTCAAACAACAGAAAAGACAGCACAGAAGTGAACCTTGTGGGCTGACATTTTGATACTAGTTGAATTCCTCAAAATAATTAAAATGGTTTAGCTGCCAGAGTACAGTACCCATAGTCTCCTGATTACTTTTGTAGCTACTGTACAGAAAATTTCAGGAGTGTTTGACAGTTAATCGAAATCAGGCCCTTTTCCTCAATAAATCGAGATAGGATATTATCATTTATAGGATATATGCATGAAAAAGTTTGAAAATGTGTTTTTGTGATTTGCTATATTGAGCAGGAACAAAATATTTATAATTTTCAACACTTATCTAAACATTATATAATGTAATATGCTCAACCTAATGTTTTGCTAATTTTTCTAAGATATATTAAAATATTTTGTATTTTCTTTAGTAAACTGGACCCAGTAAGAAAATTAAAAATACCAGAACATTGTACCTTCTAAACTGTTGGCTTAATAAAACAGTGGGGAGGACTGGGGATTTAGCTCAGTGGTTCCACCGCCTGCTTCGCAAGCACAAGATCCTGAGTTTGATCCCCAGTAACAAAAAAATTAAAATAGTGGGGTGAAGCTGTGTGTGTGTGTGTGTCGCGCGCGCGTGCGTGCACACTTTCACAGGAGGAGCAGGAATTGGGCTTAGGGACACTTCCTGGGAACAGGAGGTTCCGAGTTAGACCCGAAGAAGTGAGCGCCAGCCTCGGCTTGGTGTCTGAGTCACCCTTGTGGGGAAACTGCGGCTGGTGTGTCAGCCCATAAACGGGAACTTACCACGACGATTTCTCCCTCATTGTTGCTCTTACCTCCACATCCTCTTACCTCTGTTTTCCTGAGCTTTCTTTCTTTGAGTTTTTCTTCCACCAGGGTAAACAGTGGGGTTCTTTGTTTGGGTTTTCGTGGTGGCCGGGATTGCAGTGTGTCAGGGAGGAAGCTGGCTGCATTGGAAAGCTGAGGTTTCCGGTTCAGAGTGTGGTGTCAGTGTTTCTAAAAACTTCTTTATCTATGATTGCTTTGGTTCTCGGCTGGGGGCAGTTTTGGCCTCCAGGGATTATTTGGCCATGTCTGGAGTGAGCTTTTGTTTTTCTAACTGGAAGGAGTGGCATCCAGGGGACAGCGCCGGGAAAGCTGCAGAACGTCGTCCTGGCACAGGGCACCTGGAGCAAACTTACCTAGCCTGTGGTGCCTCAAACCAGGGAGGTTAAACAAACCTGCTCTGCAGAAGGGTAGCTCCTGTTTCCCAGCAGCCAGTGACTTTTGGCATCGGGGATTCCCTGAGGAGCATGGGAGTGGGGAGTGGCCCCTGGGGTGTCCACGGAGCACACCCGGGAGAGAACAGAACCGGGCCTGCTTCGGTTCTCAGTGGGGTTCTTCCTTTCCAGCAGCCACTGGGCCATAGGCTCTGCCCGCACGATTGGACTCGTGAATGGATCCCTGTCCCCTTCTGCCCTCGCCCTCCCTGGGCCTCCTGGGGTAGGGCAGCAGGAAGCTCCTCACCAGCACTCAGTGGTGCTCTGGGGCTCCCTACCCTTCAGATGTGGAGGGACAAATAGCTTTCCTCATCAAGTACTCAGTCTGTGCTGTTGTTACAGCAGCAGAGCAGGGACTGAGCCGGAGCTGGCTGGCCTGAGGGCAGTGGAGCCGGCTGGAAGGGAGCAGCGCAAGCTGTGGGAGAACATAGGGCAGGAACCTTGTCACAGTGGCGCTGGGCAGAAACCCTGGGTACTTTTTGTTTGTGTGTTTTGAGAGTCTTGGCCCGTAGTCCAGGCTGGCTTCGAACTCAGGACCCTCCTGCCTCTTTCTCCTATGCAGACAGGCTATGGTGCTTTTTCATCACAGATCTGCAAGGAATTGCTTTGGATGGTTCCAAAGTCTTCCTGTGACCAGACTGCTAAGGTGAGGAGTGTAGGAGCTGCCTTAACACTGCCGTCTTCCCCCAGGTGGGAAACTCAGGGTGGGTCTGGCCGTGCCACCTGCCACCAGCGAGAAAAGAATGTGTGGGTCGTGCCCAGGTGTTGCTGTGCCCTGGAGCTGCTCCTGTTCCAACCCGCAGAATGCTGATGGGGCCTGCAGGGTGGGGCTGGCAAGGCACAGCTGCCCAACTGGGGCAAGGTCAGGGGAGTGAAGCCTGTGGGCTGGGTGGCAGCAGCGTTCTCCGGGTTTATTGAAAACATCAGTCTTGGGAACAGTTTCAGGAATATCTACGTCTTTTCTCTCCTGCTCGCTCCATTTTTCTTTTTTAAAAAATTCAATCTGAGAATGTAAACATCACCCCTCAACTTTGAGTCCGTTCAGCAAGCTGAAGACAAACACCTACCCTGTGGGCCAGCAGTGCCAACCAAGAGAAATGAGGCCTGATGCCTGCAAGGGTGGTAGGAGAGCCGCTGCCTTCCGAAGGCCCCAGACCAGCAAAGAGCCCAGATCTCTGTCCCTAGACCAGAGATGAAGAACTGTGGTGTATTCAGCAGGGGCCCTGGCGCTGAAAGGAACGCACTAGAGAGGTGCAGGGCATGGAGGGTAAAGGCCACCAACCTCCCCAGGTGGAAGAAGCCAGATACAGAAGAGCACAAACGACACAGTTCCATTTCTGTCACCTTCCAGAACTCGAAAGATGACGAGGGGGGGGTAGAGGAAGGTGGTTACCTAGGGTGGGAGAAGGCACAAGTGAACTTTGGGGGGCCCTGGGCGTGGGTGCGGTCACCACTGTCTATGGTGACGGTGCCAGGCTCAGCGGTCCTCCACTGGGACAGCAGAGTCCCTGCCCCAGGCTGCATACCCGGGCTGTGTGTTGAAGCCCGGAGAACACAAGCTGTCCCACTGGACGACTCCTCCCAGAGCCCCGCGGCCCTGGGGTCCCCTGCGGTGGGCAGGAAGGCAGCCCCAGAGCAGTGATCTGAGCACCCGCTGGAGGGAGCTGGCTGCGTCGGACCTGGCCAGGTCAGGGCTCCGCTCCGCAGGTATCACTTGCAGGCACGGAGTGGCGGGGATGTGCAACCTGCTCAGGCTTCTCCCGCTCCTCCCGCCCTGTTTTGTCATTTTCTCCAGTCAGAGTCACGCGGAGGGGCTTTCCGTGGTCTCCTCCCGCCAGGCGCTGTGGATTTTGGCCCGCGCCCGCGGACCGGTGGGTTCCGAGAAGATCCAGCAGGTGACTTCAGGACTGTCCCTGAGGGCCCCCGGGAGAGTTAGGGAAATACCGAGGAGCTCGCTGCGAGCCCCCAGGCGGCGCCGCCCGCCCTGGGGTTCTGCGAAGGCAGGTGCCCGACGGTGTCTGCATGGATGAGGGATGATGAGGTTGCGGGGCGCGGGTGACGCCCGGCAGCACCTCACTTCCCCGGCGTCCCGCCTGCTGCGTGTCCTGGGACCCCGGAGGCCGCCAGCCCTGTGCCCCGCTCTGGGGTCCTGTGCGGACCTTGGTGGCCAGAGCTGTTCTTGCTCTGCTTCCTGGAGCTCATGCGAGCCCCTCGAGAGGCCTGGCGGACGCCGCCCCAGCGCTGCAGCCCGGGATCCCATCACCGTCTTCCAAGCGCACGGCCCCAAGTAGGCCCTTAGTGAATGCTGGCCTTTGAACGACCGTTTTCTGAAACAAACGCTCTCTCAAGTATGCCCAGGACCCTGTCTGTGTGTCCTGTCTGAGCTGAAGGGGAGCAGCAGCATCCGTACCTTGCTCTCTGGAGAGTTCCTGTTCTTGGGCTGCGGATTTAGCTCAGTGGTTCCGATGCCTGCCTTGCAGACACAAGGTCCCGAGTTGGATCCCCAGTAGGAACACCCATACATATTCTATTGGAGCATCTGCTCCACCCTAACCCTGAGGCTGGGGACGTTTTTCTTTCTTTGCTAAAGAAGCTAATCCCAGCATCTGTGAAAGATGGACCATCAAGCTGTTCCTCAAGGGAACTGGGAGTCTTCACTGGGGCACTAAAAGGCCAGAAAAGTCCAGAGGTTCAGGTCCACAGGCCGATTTGATCTCTTTTATCCTCCTTTTTTTTTTTTTTCTTGAGACTGGGTCTCGCTGTGTAATCTCGGCTGGCCTCGAATTTGGGGGGATCCTACTTGAGCCTCCTGAGTGCTGCGATTACAGGCCAAGCACGCCCAGTCTTCTCCATTTGCTTCATACAATTTTTGTAAGCTTTTTTCTTACCTCAGAGTAGTGATACTCAATGTAGAAAGTTGATAAAAAGCAAG